GGCAATATTTACGCATTCACTAAAGCAAGCTAGTAAGCGTCCTGAGAGTGTGCTCGATACTATCAGGCATTAGCTGATAACAGCCATGAATGATTTAGTGTTGCAATACGCAACGGGCCATCGAATGACGTATACTGCGCAGTGGAACGAGGTACTGCATATGAAACAGTTATTAACCATTTAAAGCATTTGAGGATTTCCGCATAAAGGAAGTATCACGGCGAAAGAAAAATGAGGAAACGTTGCATTAATTAGTCCTTTCTTTTGCTTCACCGCATCAGTGTTAAGGACCAGCTTTACAAAACATTTGTCCAAAACTAGAGACGTTTCAGCGCTATCGGAGTACAAGATTTATAAAAATGAGTTCAACAACAGTATTAGAGCTGCTAAGGCTCAGTATTGTGCGGACATTTCCAGCGTAGCAGTAACCGTAGTGACGGTCTCTAGCGGCAGCGATTCACTCTTCTAAATGATGTATATAAAAGTGAAATACCTGATAAATGATTTCGAACGGAACTGAAGCGTGTGGTTATTCACTTGCAGATTCTTTGAATAACACTTCTTCTCACATTTTCAGTTCAGTGGTAGTATAGATGCATTGAAATTTCTTTCTCCGCGAGGTCACGACAGTGTTTTTCTTTCTTCTGTTCATAGCCAAGAAGTTGCTCTTAAATGGCAACGTCTTTAGAGGCTCTTAAGAGCCCTTAAAACAATACTTAGAGACGACCCACAGATATTGCCTGTAAAACATGTTGTCGATATGATTCCAACTTCACTGGCCCACATATTTAATTTTTGCCATAAGATGTCCACTTTCTCTGTCCAAATGCAAGTCAGTAAGTTCAGGCCAGTCCCTAAGAAAAGGTGATGGGAATAACATTTCTAACTACAGACCGGTATTGATACTTCCTTATTCACTAAGGGCTTTGAAAAATTCATTTTAACACGTCTGCACAGTTTCAAATTGAGTGACAGAACGGTATGACGCCATTTATATTATTTCAAAAAAAAAAAAAAACTGCCAGGCCTGCTCGGAACGCGTGGCACTGTCACAGCGAAAGCTGGAGAATAGGCCTTTCAGAGCTTTTTTGCAACACTCTTTGTTGCTGCTTCAAGCACACTTGCAAGGTATCCACTACGCCATTAACCATCGCGTAGTGGGCAGGCATTCACTAAGTTATTCTTAATCAGTTTTTGAACAAGCGCTGTACCGGCTAAGGATCTTTGTGCAATTTTGTTGACTATGGCTGACGACAATAAAGAATTATGCCAGAAGGTTTTGTAATCCCCACAATCCCCATCAGTGCGTGTGTTCCACAGTTGATAGGCGAACAGGATCAGGCATTTGTAAAGGTTCCAGCATTCGACGACCCGCTGGTTGCGCTTTTCGCAATATGTGACACATGGTTGTTCCTTTCGCTGTTCTAAAACGCTTTATTCCTCACATGAACACGATCCTTTTCCCAACATCAAGCCTGCCAAGCCAGTTTGCATAGGACTTCCTAGCACCGGCTTGGCTCACTATAAAATATTGGGCTGGTATGCAGGGGACCCTCGATCGAATCCCATTGTGTCCTTGGTATTTTTTTCTAATTTCGTGTGATAGTGGTTACGGACACTGGCGGCGGCGGCGGCGAACAACTACGGCGCGGACGCGGCCCGAGTTGTGATCTCAAAGCACCTTTCACTTAAAAAAAAATTAGCTTGACTGAAACTGCGCTGCTTGCACGAAACGAATTCACCCTCTGAAACTTTGAAGAAAGACGCATATAGTATTAGCCCTCTTTATTGATTGAAGAAAGCCATTGAGAGGTTCCATCATAAAATTCTTGTGAGCAAACTTGAAAGCTCATTCCAAGACGTGCCGCTGAACTCGTGAACTCTTGTTTGTCCCATCGACGTCAATACGTTAACGTTAGTGGACACTCATCACAAATGCTAGGGTCTAGCTAAGGCATTTAGCATGGAAGTATACTGGGGCCTTTCTTGTCTCATTTGTATACCAACAACATCGTCAACATTCATTATGACTCCTTTCATGTTATGTATGCAGATAATACCAGTGCAAATTTTAGCGACAAAAGTCCTGACGAATTGACAAGAAGAGCTAATGGAATGCTTGCCGCATTGTAAATCTGGCGAGAACTAAATGCACAAGAAAATATTGTGGTTAAAACGAAAGTGATAATTTTGCGCCGTTAGGTAAAAAATGTAACATCTTGCGACTCTTCAACTTATAGCTCCCAAAAGGTAAAAAATCCACCAGCACTAAAATTTTTGTTTAGTTAACGGAAAAGTTGATGGAAATGTGTATGTCAACCACGTGTGTTTAGCTGCCTCTCGTTTTGCTGGTTCCTCATACCACAATAGCTACGCTCTTTCTACTTCTAGCAAATTGCTGCATTTGCAACCTTTTTTTTAGGTCCTAAGTAAATCGTTGCCAACTTGTATGGGTATTTGGCACACACATAGCCTTAAAGAAGCTCCACATTCTACAAAATAGGCTTTACGCATAAGTTATAACACAGCCAGAAATCATTGTTCTGTACAGCTATTCCAAGCTTCAGATATCCCAACTGTTTGACACCTATAACTTACGCCTTGTTCTTATGTATAAATACGAAATTAGCAATACCATTCGAATTCTTGCTCATTTAGCAGAGTTAGCCGAATACTCTTTGTATCTATTACGGCTCATGATAAAGTTCGAAACAGGAACACCACGCACAGACTTCGGGGCCCAGATGCTAAGAACAACTTTTCCCTGCGTGTTAAAGATTTTACCGCAAAATGATTTTAATATTTCTTGTTACAGTCCAGCGCTTGATGCTTTCTTTTCTGAGCTGCTATATAAAATATTAGTTTCATTTTTATTTTTTGTAGTAGTGTTTTCTTTTTTTTCCCTTCAATTTTTATAACTTACTTACTTGTACGTGTTGTGTTCTTTCGGTGATCATGAGCAAGAATGTGTGCTCTTCTTGTGCTTATGATTACGAGCGCCAGCTTTAGTATACCGTCACTGCTTGCTGAACTGTAATCGGCTGGGAAGCTTACTCAAGCTCGCAGCAGATTTTTCATCTGTCGCTTTCTAGTTCCTCAAGTGATAAATATAATGGTTGTAGAACGACAGATTAGTTGAACAGTTTTATTCAATAAACCTGGACAGCATGTCTCTTCGCTCCTTATACACTCATTTCATTTCGCTTGACCCCGTCGTGAAATTCCAGCAGAGCATTAGTATATTAGCATATACTAAATGTACATATGCGTTTACCTGTTTATTTTGAGTTTGTTGTGGCCATTACGTTTTCGTTTCCGTATTTGGTTGTGATTGTTCATTGTCATATATTTTTTTCTAACTTATTTTGTGCATATCTTATTGATGTTGTGGAGTAGCGTTGTTACTCTTCTGAAAAAAAAATCCAGTTACTTTATGCACCCCTACACCATTGTATTTATACCTACGCAAAGTGCCTTGGATTATTGTTAGCATGCCATGTACCTTTATTCAGTACTGCACACTGTCAAAGTGTAACACAAGGGGGCCAGGTTTCGCCAAGCTGCAGTAAGGCAGCTTTTTCGCAACCCCCCATTCCGCTTGCTGAGATTAAATGAAAAGTTTATTTGATTGATTTTGATCTAGTTAAGAATAAACCTCCTTTAAAGATGGTGTCATCTCATGCATTTGAAACTGCAAAAGTACGTTAAGAAACTGAAGGAAGTTAGCCTTATGACATATTTCGTGCATACCATCTGTTTCTTAGCCGTATGCTAATTCCCATAGAAGCACTTCTCCCGATATCTATAGTATCTATAGTATTCGCACGGTCAGCATGTTTGAAGAAATGTTGATGTTTTAACGTTGTATAATATTAAACGTGTTAACGCAAAAATGGCAATGTAACAGAATTAGGATTTCGTTAATGGAAAAAAAACCCTCTGAATCTGCTGAGAGAAAAAATCACAAGGAATAACGGGTTAAATGGAGGGTATGACGCCACTGTAGTTCCAAACGACGGATACGAACGGCATAGGACGGTGGTTACAAGAGGAATAGAGAGACACACTTCAGAGCAACACAGTCTATATGAGGACAGAATTGTAGTAGGCACGTTGGCTGTATATGTAGGGGCTTGTAGTCCGGCAAGCCATTTTAAATATACTGTTTTATTGTAAATTGGAGGCTCTAACTTACAAATTTTTCAGTTACAAAATCAGTGCGTAGACGAAAACGTGCTCCATCTTCAGAAAAAAGAAGATGTAATTTAATTTCCTGTCCATTCCACGCAAAGTGCGCCCAATTCTATTCCCATTCCATTCATTCAACTGTTGTCTCCATCCCTATACGGGGTTGCAAAATGTGAAATAATTTCGGGATTATCCCAATGCCGGAGTGCAACTGCGCAACGCTGTATTCGGCTTCTGATTTGGTAGCAGAACAGGTGGGTGAATTTGTTCAAAGGGGAATATAAGAACTGACGGGTGAGTCTGTTACGTGACCAAAAATGGCGTAATAACTTGTCACGTGACTAAAACGTGAGTCATGTAAGGTCACCCAATAGCTCGTCACGTTGCGCACAATCACTGACATCATGTAACATATATAGTCATGTGAAGTGTAATAACTTGTCCCCGCTTTGAACTTCGAGACATTTTTGTCACGTGGATTGTTCTAGCCAAACACCATGGAACAGCTGGTCACGTGACTGAAATATAGGCATCATATAACAGGAGGTCACGTGATGTGTCTGACGAAATATAACCATATTTAGTACTATACTAGCAAAAACCTAGCATCTTTAAAAAAGCCTTGCATTACTAGCGAAATTTAGCTAGGTTGTACATCAAGTTCGTTTAAGCTCCCAGCCTCTTGCCACTAGTAGAACCTGCATTCTTTCTTATCGCGATCGTTGACCAGCTGATGATGTCAATGAATCAGGAGCCCTACCTAGACTGTGGTGAAGATAGTTGATGACCCACTCGACGAATGACAATCCTACCTAGACTCTGGTGAGGATAGTTGACGACCCACTCGACGGATGACGATAAGAATCCATGCACCAATATAACAGGTGGCTTCCGGCTCCTGTGCGGAGGAATGGAAGCCCCCCAGCGGCCATGTGGGATGCGTTGCATCGACAGCACGTAGCTGTCCTGCGTGATGACCGTGAACTCCTGGCAGTAGTAGCCCTTGCTGCGGATCAGGTCTGCCTGCGAGCACGATGCAAGTGCCGTGACACCTTTCTGGCAAATATTTGATAACTATTGGACACCGATAAGAAGCAGGACCCAAGAAAGGCAGCGAAAAAAGCCCACAACGCCACCTCCTAACTTAATTATACTTGCCCCTGCCGATGATAGAAAACTGCAACTATGGCCTAAGTCGAAAATTAGGCAAAGTAGAGTGGTGAAGTGTTAAAATGAAAATCGGCAAACCCATAATTTATTTATATATTTTAACTTCGGGGTAAAATAAGTCTTCATGGTTCAGGTGCTTGCTGCTCTGTATAATGTGACAACATGAAATGAAGTTCTTCTGGACATGTTCAAGGCAATTCCCTTGATATATATATATATATATATATATATATATATATATATATATATATATATATATATATATATATATATATATATATATATATATATATTAGTATGGGATATGGCACAACGGGAGCGTTGTCAACAAGGATAAATATATTTATTTCCCAACAGTTTCGGGAGGGGTCCTCCCTTCATCAGGGGATGAGTTATACTGACATGAACTTCCAAACTTCATTGCTGCCGCGTCCCTCTCGCCTTGAAATATGTTTGCGAGTGTGAGCAGGAACTAAAAAAGGAAAGAAAGAAAAAAAAGGAAAAAAAGGGGAAGAAAAAGGACGAAAAGAAAGAAGGAAAAGAAAGAAAGAAAAGAAAGAAAGTAAAAAGAGAGAGAACCACTGTCAACACTGAGAACGAAACCAACTGTCCATTTACGTCCACATCTGGTTCTTATCACGTGCTGTTCAGTTCTCGACGTGTGTCGGGCCACCCATGATTGTCGCCGCGGTGGCGGGAGGGGTCCGCGACGGCGTGCGTAAAGAAAGGGCTTCCCCTTAATGGGTCGGTCCGCTCTTTACCCTTAATCTTCGTCCGTTTCCCTTCAATGGTCATCAAGTGGTAGGCAAACATAAACACTTTGTATGTGCATGTGAAAAAAAGAAAAAAATAAGAAAAAAGAAGAAAAACAAAAAAAAACAAGAAAGGACAGTGTACACGTACGAGTCAGAAAAAACAAGCATGGTTTCCAGCTATCAATCTTTGTCACCGATTTCCTCCTGGCTTATTTCTCAGAGGCAGGAGAGTTTTCCGGGGTCCTCGTTGACGCCGGGTACTAATGTTCGAAATTCGAAAATAAAATATGCCTCACGCTGTTCGCGCTCGCGTCTGTTTGAGAAACCGGACTGCAAAACAGTTACGCTGATATATTCAAAACTGTGGTTTGGCAGGCGCAGATGTCTAGATAAAGGTAGCTTCGGCAGTGAAGTGGCGTGGTACCGGTGATTATTGAACCGCAGCCGAAATGGCGTGTCTGTTTGGCTGATATATTCTTGTCCAAAGATGTTGCAATGTAGCATGTGCATTACGTTACTGGAGTCCCAATTAAGACTTTCAGTTATGCAGAATTTGAAATCCGAGAAGTTCGCTTTGGATTCACGTGTTGTGACTATCTGTGGGCATACCTTGCATCGAGCTTTTCCGCAGGGATGGCACCCTGATTGAATTTTGGGGGTGTTTGTTTTTGCTCTGACAAGAATGTCCTTCAGAGTTTTGTCCCTGCGGTACACCACGTGAGGTGGCTTCGCGAAAATAGAAGTTAGTCGTTTGCTTTGCCTGATTATGTTGAAATGGCGGGAAAGTATGTTGTTGATTCGTGGCGCTGATGAGGAGTAAGTTAGTACAAGGTTTGTTTGGGAAGTCGTTTTAGATACTTTGTTTGGTCCCTTAATTATATCATTCCTGTTCACGTTGCGAGCACGTAGTATGGTATCGTCAATAATGTCTTCCGGATAATTTTGTTTCAATAAGGAATGCTTCAGGTGCTCCGCGTGTCTATCAAATTCCCGCATATCAGTGCATATTCTTCGGTACCCGTTTTGCAATGCTTTGGGTGGCTGCTGTTGAAATGTAGGTACACTTGACGGTCTGTACGCTTTTTGTAAAGGTTTGTTGACAAGCAGTCATTTTTGACCGTGACGTCCAAAAAGTTAATGCTAGTTTTGGAAATTTTGTGCGTGAATTTAATTGACGGGTGGCACTTGTTAAAATACTCTATGAAGCGGAAAAGACTTCCCTCACCGTGGTTCCATATCATAAAAATATCGTCTAAGTATCTTCTATAGTAGAAAGGTTTCAAGGTGCGTCGCTCAATGAATGGGATTTCAAGTGAAGCCATAAAGGTGCTCGCGAAGTTTGGGGCCGTTTTCCTGCCCATTGCGTGCCACTGACCTGAAGGAAATGCTTGCCATTGAACTCAATATGGGTATAATTTAGTACAAGTTCAAGAAGTGTAAAGAGTACCTCGCCATTTACACTAGTTGATGAGTCAGATTTTACATATTCAGAAACCATAGCCGCTATTCCGTCATGGTGGGGTATGTTGGTGTACAGTGAGCAGACGTCCATGGTCACCAGAAAACTGCCGCCTGGGATGTCGAGACTAGAAGTTTCGCAGATGAAGTGGTTTGTGTCCTTTAGGTAATAGGAAAAATTTGGGGGGATGTTTTTTTATTAAGGAAATAATGAATTCTGATATATTTTCTGTTTATGTGCTGTTACTGAATACTATCGGACGTCCCGGATTGCCTGCCTTGTGTATTTTGGGGAGCAAATAGAATCAACCGGGAACAGAATGGGCCGGTTACATTGCTTTTAACATTTTGCCAGTAATTTTCTTGTCCCAGCGGAGATTGTTTAGGGTTACTTTTATCTCGCTTTCAAATTCGGGAGTCGGGTCCGTCGGAAGTTCTTTGTAGAATTTTGTGTCTGATAGATGTCGTTCCTCTTCCTTTAAGTAGTCCGACGTGTTTAGAATTACTATGCAGCCCCCTTTATCAGCCGGTTTGATGGTAATTCCAGTGTTTATTTCGTAGTTCATCGAGTGCCCTTCGTTCTAAATTTGATATGTTGTTTCGAAATGGCCGATTTTTTTTCATATGCTCTGATAATATTTTTTTGAACTGCTGATATTTACATATCGAGGTGTTTGTCCCTCGTCTCATCTGGACACCATGATTTGTCACCACCAATCAATCTATTCTCGTGGCAGAATAGAACAGCTGAATAAGAGGCAGAATAAGAACAGCTGGCCCAGGATCGGGACTTGTGTCTTCTCTGTCTCGCTCATCACAATATATATATATATATATATATATATATATATATATGTATATATATATATATATATATATATATATATATATATATATATATATATTGTGATGAGCGAGACAGAGAAGAAGAGAGAAGTTCCGATCCTGGGCCAGCTGTTCTCATTCTGCCTCTTCTTCCTCGCTCGCCTAGCAAGCGCGTCTGTGCCAGAGTGCCAGTTTCTGTCTTCGTCGTCACAATCGGCCATGGCTGCAAGCATTGTTGATGGGCCACACGACGATGTTCATGTGGGTGAGGCTAGCTGCAGCAGTTGAAATTGCTTCAGGTGGGTGGAGTTGGCTGCATCGTCGTGATGGGCCCCGACCACGCTGAAAGTTTGTCGAAATTGGCTCCGGCGGCTGACACTGGCTATGTCGCCCAGGTCGTTCGCCATGTCGTGATGAGAACTGGGTCCTGGTTGGTCCCTTCGTTGATGATGACTCCGCGGGACAACATTGACTGTCGCGTGGCAGTCTACAGCCTCGGCCACGCTGCGACTTTTCAGAGAAAGTAGTTGGACTCCGGTTTTCGTTTGGTGGACCGAGTAGGCATTCTCGTGGTAGAAGTTTCCTGTGGTGGTGTGGTTTTCATGGAGATGGTTCTGGTGGGCGGCCCCGACTGGATCGACATAGTCGCAGGTTGATCACAGAACGCTTTCCTTTGTCCCACCACATTTTAGAAAAGAGGGCAGGAAATGGGGGATCCGACAACGAAACGAGTAGCATCTTATGCAGCCGTCTGCGCAATTTTCTACGGATCGAGAGATGTTTCTTGGTGCGACCAGACATCTGCACGAACCTGGGGTGAAGTCCTCGTGCTGACCCGCGGCGGGGCTCCCGTGCCGTGACTTGCGTAGTCCGTGACCCACGCAGAGTTGTAGCTATGGGGCTCCCGGACGCTGTAAAGTCAGTGATTCCTGAAACCACGCTGCGTAGTGGCGAGAGATCCTCGACGGAAGCCGCTCCGGAAATCGGAGACTCCACCGATTCAGGCAGCGCATGCGTCGCACGCATATCCTCTTCCGTCTGGTCAGATGGGATGTTATTAGACTCAGCGGAAAGACCTGTCTCATTAGGTGGTAGAATGTCCAGTAGGATGGGGGCCGGTGCCTTTAAGTCGAACGGACGACTTGCGTTGGGGCATCTTGCGGAGCATTGCGCAAAGCTTGCCATCAGAAACCCGCCGGACCCAGCTGCACCGTCGGGCCGGTGCTCCTCAGAAGCTCCAAATACGACAGTAGAAATGCCTGTGCAAGGCAGAGTTACACGATAGTGATTGTTCCCTACATCTAGGTCACCGAGAGATGACAGGATGATAGGGTCTTCGCATCCTCTAGGTCGGGCTTTTCCCGAGTTCCGTCCTGAGAGAAGGTCGAGCTATATGGGCAGGTGGCACAGGGAATCGGACCGAAAGCAGCTATGAGCTTGACGCTTCACTTCGCCCATGACTGCTGTTTCCAACCTTCATGCCGGTGCCACGCCGCTGCACCTTCCCGAAGACGGTCTATGGCCACATACCATTTCGGATTCTCTGTCCAGGCCGCGCGCATTGCTAGCGCGTTGACGGTTGCCACCCAGCTGTCGGCGTCGTTCCGGACCCCGTCGAATCCCGGCAGTTCGTAGGTGGACGGCGATGGTGGGGTGGCACGTGAGAATGCGGATATCACTGAGGCAACGCCGTCGAGCGGGTCTGAGAGCTGCAGAAGGGTGCCCCAAAGTTGCCTGCGTTGCTCCAATGGGCTTGCCTCAAGGTCGTGCGAGGCAGCTACATCCAACACGGCGTTAGTGGTGCGCAATTCTGGC